AAAAAAAAAAAAAAAGATTTGAGATTCAATTCAATGAGGTCAATAAATTGAAAATTGGGGATAATTGAGTGAGACAGCAAAAAGAATAAAGCAATTATCAGAGATGGGCTACAGTTATAAATTTATAGGTAGAATGTTCTAGATGATGAGAAGAGCCATCGTATGACCTCAGATGGAGAAAAGGATGGGCAAACCAAGGAACTGAGTAGACAAGAGTAGTTACACTGGTTATACTTGCGAGTGTTGAGTTCATACAGAATGATAGCAGGAAGTTTAAAACAGAAGCAAATTGTTCAGTGAACAGAAGAAGAATAACAGGTTCATGAGTGGGGCTAAGACAACAGTATGACCTAAAAGGACTAGACAGAGGCTTTTGCAAGAGCATAGTTGAACAATAACTGGAAGCTCCACCTGTGGGTTAAGGATTCCCCACCTTTCAACTTCTGGAAGTTTGGAAGAACAGGCATCTACCATCTCATAAATACTGCAGCCAGAGAGGTGTCCTAGTGGAGAGTTCAACCAGCATCTGCAGACTCCAGATTTCTTTGAGAGAAGTGTGGGTAATCAGGACAATCAGGATTCACTTTAAAGGTTCAAGGGAGAAGCTGGATGCTAGTAAGGAAGCAGGTGGTGCAATTTAGAATAAGTGATATGTTCATTTCTTAGATGAAACACCCTGCCTCTGTTCTTTACCACAAGATGGTAAAGATTAAGATTAAGATGCCTTAATTTTCCAATTTTGTTAGCTTCTCAGATATCAAAACTGGCTAAGCACCAGTAACTGGGTTAGGCTTAAACTTGGTAGGTATCTTAGCTCTTTGATGTGAACTTTCTAAGTAGTTTTTATCAAGTGTATACTATGTTAGCTATTATATTTTATAAGCTGTAATAAATTACCTTCTTTTGTGCCATTATGAATATTTTGATTAAATTCTTATCTGTGACAGTGGGAAGTCTATTAGTCATTATTATTCATCTTTTAGGTAACTACTATGGTGTTAATATGTCAACCTCATATACTAATTTTTTCCTCATGTCATTTGAATAGAAACCTTTTTTCTTGTAGGTAAAGTGTCAGGAAATTTTTTTATGAAATTAATGTAGAAATAATATTTTTCTTTTTTTTTCCAGTACCCCCAAATATTTATGGTTCTGATGAACTAGCTCAACTTACAGTCATCGAAGGGAATCTTATTAGTCTACTGTGTGAATCAAGTGGTATTCCACCCCCAAATCTCATTTGGAAAAAGAAAGGTCAGTTTTCAACCTGTGATACTCTTATATTATCTGGCAGAAAAATCTTACTTTCAACATTCATTACTTGCCCCCCCTAAAAATGAATTTCCTGCATTGATTGTTTTTTAATGAAATGCACTGTAGAGCACGTGTAATCATCAAAACTCTATCAAAGAACTGAATTTTCTTCTTTAAAATAAATTGAAAAAATTATTTTCTAAATTAAGTATTTTTTCTGTATTTGTGACAGATTTGCAATGTATGTTAAGACTGAATTCTGCCATCGAGCATATTTTCAGTTTATGCATCAACAAATACTTATCTGTGCCCACTAAGTATCCGATCGTCTTAATTCTTTGTTTATTTACATTTTGGTCCTCTTTCATTTTGCACCCCAGGGCAGGATTATTTCCCAGGGTCATGAACTAGGTATATGAACCAGGAAGTAAATAAATAGTATCAGAGTATATAAGCAAAATGCTGTATTTTTGCTTTATATTCTGCCATTTGGTTTTCTTTACAGGCTCTCCAGTGCTGGCTGATTCCATGGGGCGAGTTAGAATTTTATCTGGAGGCAGACAGTTACAAATTTCAATTGCTGAAAAATCAGATGCAGGGCTGTATACATGTGTAGCGTCGAATGTCGCTGGGACCACAAAGAAAGATTACAATCTGCAAGTTTACAGTAAGTTATTGATCAGCCAAGTTTTTGCACAAGTTTCTTTTCTTCCTTTTCATCCTTCTTTTACTTTTTCTTCATCTTTTTAATAGTCATTCAAAGCAGTATGGTTATACATCATATTACCTGCACATTTAAATTGTGCTGATCCTAGAGAGAAATTACTCCGCCAACAATGACCTGAAGAAAAAATGGCCGCCCCTTGACCAAAGGAAGAGGAGTTGCAGATATTGTTATGTATAAAGCAATACTGCTGCTCACTCTGCATCACCTTGCCAATGTCAGGCATTCATTGTGGCTGTACTTTGTTGGGGGCAGAATAGTGGACTCGTGGAGGAGCAAGGGGTAGCATTGTACTATAGGGTATATTAACAATATTTAAAAGTATTTTATTTTAAAGAATGTTTAACTTGTATAAGATTTTAGAGTGCTTACAGCATTACATTATCTCATTTCATCTTTACACGAGCTATTATCTAAGACAAAACTATTGCCTCTATTTTGCATATATGGAAAGATAAGCTCAGTGAGGTTTCCAGGGCTGGCCAAGGAAACATGGCTAGTGTATAGTAGAACTGGGACTGGAACACAGGCTTACTGACATTTGCCCACTTTTCTTTCCACATACATGTATATTAGAATTGGTCTAACTTTTGTTCTTTCAGTCAATATTTGTTAGGTGAATTTTAGCTGCAAGTAATAGACTAACTGACTCTCAGTAGCTCAAACTGGTAGATTTTATGTTCTCACGAAACAAGAATCCTGAGGTTGCAGTTAGTCCGTGGAGTTGGTTGGCAGCTTCCTCATGTCAGATGGGAGCTCTGGGATTTTGCTGGTCTGCCTTCCATGGTCTCGGGATGGTGGCTACAGCTGTGGTGTCAATTTCACATTGAAGGAAAGGGGTGATATTTTTCCCCTTTATTAAAAAATTTCCCCCAAACCCCTAAGAGATCTCTGTTTAGATTTTACAGGCCTAAATTTATTCATGTGGTCACAAGAAACTATCAGCTTTCCAACTCTCAGAGTAGAAGTTAGAAGAAAGAAAGGTAACAGACATTGTATCACTAGCCATTTAGCCATTGTAGTCAGGACTAAGAAGACTTATGTAAAGCAGAGGCTACATGGACAAGTTCAAGTATTTGTATCAAACAAAACACAGCATTCTTTTCTTACTGCATTGATAGTTTTAAGTATGAACCCACTTAGAAACCCTGAAGAAGAATTCTACCTCTTCATATAGTAATGCCATATTGATTAGGCTTGGGTTTTTTCTTTAGAAGTTAATATTTTAGCATAAAGAAAGGATTAAACTTTGGCTGATGAAAATTCCTATGTAAGATTTGAAGCAAACATTTCCTATGTATTTCTTTTTATCTTTCCCTACTTGGCCAGTTCGACCAACCATAACAAACAGTGGCAGCCACCCTACTGAAATTATTGTGACTCGAGGCAAGAGTGTTTCCTTGGAGTGTGAGGTGCAGGGTATGCCTCCGCCAACAATGACCTGGATAAAAGACGGCCGCCCCGTGACCAAGGGAAGAGGAGTGGAAATACTGGACGAAGGTCGCATCCTTCAGCTGAAGAACATTCACATATCTGACACAGGTCGTTATGTGTGTGTTGCTGTAAACGTAGCAGGAATGACTGACAGAAAATATGACTTAAGTGTACATGGTAAGTAAAAAGACACCCAATAGGTCTGTTCACTCACTGATACCATCTAACATCCTGGGTGAAGAGGGGAGGCCTTGGATATTGAAAGTCTTTTATTTATAGGACATCCTTTAAAATCCATTCTTCTTCCCTAGATCAGTCTTATCCTTTATCCTTCTTTGCCTGACCTCATATGATTTATCTTACTAAAATAAGCATATAGGGCAGCACCTGTGGCTCCAAGGAGTAGGGCGCCGCCCCGTATGCCAGAGGTGGCAGGTTCAAACCCAGCCTCAGCCAAAAACTGTAAAAAAAAAAATAAAAATAAAAAATAAATAAGCACATATTGGATATTCTTTGAGGAAAGTACATAGTAAAATGGAAAATGGTTTTCTTCAAGCGCTTTTCTGGCTTAAGTAGGTTATTATAAACAAAAATTCCTTAGACTTATGACTCAGCATCAGGTGGGCATGAGTTGTACTGAAGTTAGCTTTAATATTCTAATTAATGAGCCATAAATGTCAGTAGGAATAGACCAAACATACACATACACGGAAACAACTGGTTAGATGCATCAAATTTGAGCTCTAATTTTATAGAAATTATAACTTAAATCCTATTAAGACATGCTCAAAATTCAGTGTTAATATCTTATAGTTAAAAAACATATATGTTTATATATATATAATATGTATATAAATAGATATATCCTATAGTTAGTATATATGAAATATAAAAAAATATAT